TAGAGTGTTGAGAATTGGTCTCTTCTTCTCACTGCCCCTTGCACTCTGTTTTTAGTTTTTACATGCAAAAAATAGGCAAATAGGCTACGCTTGATGGTATGGCAGTCGGCATGCATACGCGTAGAAAAAGAGAAAGAACGTGAACGGCAGGATTCGAACCTGCGCGGGCAGAGCCCACATGATTTCTAGTCATGCCCGATAACCACTCCGGCACGTCCACCTTTCCGTACGAGCCTTGAAATTGCAAATTTTATTTTAACTATTGGGCCTCAGAGGAAGGCCTAAGTGGACAGGATACTGTAAGAAAGCAAATACTTTCTGGGATTCATTTCGCCAGTCCCTTGTAACACTTTCCATTTTGGGAGTGGTCCAGGGAAAAAGGCATAGAGCGACCACAGTCTATCTACATTTATGGTTTTTTGACGCATCTGCAAGCACGTAATAGGTCAGTCAGCTATTATGTCTACATGTTAGGCCCTCTAAAGAGGAGAAATTTTTGTCCAGCTCGTGTCTATTTCGACAGGTCCAATCAAGGTATAATCGATGCAGTAGGGTCACTGTTGTTCACGTATATGAAGCAGAAATCTTTCCATTTCAGTATCATCATAATATTTCTCATTTGTCTGAAAGGGGAAAAAGAAGCTATAAGTTGCAGAAAAGGCCATCTTACTTGTACATAAAAAGAAGAGCTTATCCATGCTCTCCTCAATCCAAGGGTACTGTCGATTGTTTGAAAGAGGCAAAGAGAAGAAACATATTAAAATATATCCACACTCATTACCACTTCTCATCAGTATTAGCTTTTGTCTTTTTGACTATTCTCCATGCACAGTGTTTCCACATTTAGCTTCGAAACTTCTCCTACTTGACATGGATTAGTGCAATTTGACGCACAGATTCTCACATCCAAATACAAAAATGGGGTAATAAGTGGACGGTGCAAGGCCCTTCTTCCTTGTAAAAAGCAGAGGTATATTGTCTATTTTGTTGCCATGAACAACTTTAACCACCTTTCATTTGTTTACAATTTTCTTCCATCTTTGATGGCTTAGCCCTACACCTGTCTTCTAACTTTTTCTCTGGCACTCTCCAATTTATTATCCATCTCTCTGTCTTTTCTCCACGTGGAATCCCTCAGCAGTGTAATCTACATAAAAGAAGAATAATGAGATGGTCCTTAGTGGGATAAGCATGTCTCATTTACAGAATGATGCCTCGTGGGACCGGTTTTTCAAGTTTTAATTTTCTTTGTTGATATGTTCTCTTTGGTTTTATGTTCGGAAATTTAGGTAAAGTATGGATTAAAGAAAGATTTAAGTGTGTTTACTTTCACTGTTGTTTCTTGGGTCCAAGAGGCTTATATACTGGGAATGTTAGATAGACCGAACCAAGGCAAAATCCAAAGTCCTCGGGTTTCTTTCCGTCTGAACTAATTGCTTTCCAGCACCAAACCATGCCGAGAAAGAAGAGGAAGAAGATGGTGCTAAGAATCCCAAGTGTTGGATAATGTAACTACCCTCTTCTTCCTTCACTGGATGCAAGGGGACACAAGGCAAGTCATCGAGGCGAAGGGAAGGTCATGCCTTTCTTCTGGGTTTTCTTAGTTCTTTTGTGTTCATGCTATCCTTGGCATAAACTGCTTATGTTTTCAACCAAGATTCCTGTACTGGTAGGTTAAAGTTGTGCCAAGCTGTTCTTGTTATTGTAAAATGTGACTCCTTCCATGATGCTAGTATGAGTTTTCTACGTACTTGATGCTATTATTAGTTTCTTTCCGCTTTAATCAGATGCACAAAATCTTTGAGTTCTGTAGATTCACCACAGATTCCCTTCTTGTTCAATCACAAAACAATCTCCAGCTCTGACCATAGCGAATATGGCAACAGAGTAAATCCCTCGTATCCATCGAGACATGAAAATACTCCCCTCCTTTGATTTCCTGTAATTCAAACTTGGCTGGTTCACACACAGACAAGCACATAATGGGCATGGAATTGAAGGGCATGTTAAGAAATGAACAGCTCAATCCTCGGGCGTGAATAATCAGCCTACAAACTCAATAACACAAGGGCATCACCAACACCGGATCACCTGCCCTAATAAGGACACATTGATCAAGCCATGGAGTAGAAACTAGCCTTGTTGTACATTGAGTTAGATAAAAAAAAATTAATATAAAAAATCCAAGAATTACTATCATATTTTTTAAAAAATCAATAATAGTTATGAACTCAGAATCTATATTGGATAACATGTTTTTTTTTTTATTAATACAGTGATATATTATATGATATTTTTTTTAAATATTATGATGTTAATATATTGGATTGACCTGACTCATATGATCATTATAATTTTTATAAAAAATAAATTATAAAAGTTAATTCCTAACAAACATATTATTAAAGAATAAAATAAAAATAAAAAACTAAAATCAATTCCTGTTAACTTGTCAAGCTCATAACTTAAGTCATGTTAACAGGATAACCTTATAGAAAACAAAAAAAAATATAAAACTAAATTTTTAATCAATTCAATGTTGAAAAATAAAATAGAAAAACAAATCAATTAAAAAAACTAATTAAAGTCAACTTGAACTAATATGTTAAACCCGCGTCCTGATCATGAAATTAAGATAACCTTATAAAAAAAAAATTATGGCACTTCATTTCTAATAAATCCAAAGTTAAAAGTTGAAATCAAGAAAAAAAATTCATGAGACCAAGATACTCCATAAAAAAAGGTAGTTTTAAATAGAAAATTATGAAACTCAATTTTTAAATAAACTAATATTGAATAATAAAATTAAAAAAAACTATTTTTTAAAAAAAATGAGTTGTTAAAGAGTAAAATTGAATAAAACTATTCAATAAAAAAGGACAAAAAAATAAATCAATTCACAATTTAACATCTCAAACCCATAACCAAGTCATGAAATCGATATAACTTTATAGAAAATAAATAAAAAAATTACGAAGCTCAATTAAAAAGGAACCCTAGAAAGATAAATAGATTCAACTCGAATCAATCTATCAAACTTGTAAACTGGATCATGAAATCAAGAAAATTTTTAAAAAGTAAATATAAAAAAATTATGAAATTTAATTTTCAACTAACTCACTATTAAAGAATAAAATTTAAAAAAAAATAAAAAAAGTGATGAGAAAATAATTCAGGTTAACGTGTTAAACCTGCAACCTGAATCAAGAGATCAAAGTAAATTTATAGAAAGTAAATTCAAATAAATTACAAAACCCAATTAAGAAAAGCAAAAACTAAATGAAATAAAATCAGATTAACTTGCCAAATTTATAAAAAAATTTATGAAAAAAATTTATAAAAAATAAATTAAAGAAAAATATAAAGTTCAATTTATAATGTATAATGAATCCAATATTAAATAATAAAAAACAACTACTTTGAGAAAGAAACAGAACAGGCACTCGTAATCGTTCCGAACCTCTATCTCTAACCTATTCCCTTTCCTATGTCCTTTTACCCTTTGAACAGCAAGCCGAAACTGGATTACATTTCAATAAAGAAAGTTATCAATGGTCACATTGAGACAGGAACAGATGGGAAGTTCGCCCTCCAGTTCTATTCCTTTGGATGAGACGGCGGTGAGCAATTGATAAAGAGCAAGGGATGCTAGCACTTTTTTACTTATATTCCTTGCTTCAGTTGGTTCATAAGGCTTTGGCATCGAGACACATTATGATAGCTATAGCTAGACTGGGTGGGATTCTCTATTAGATGGTTATTCATCAAGTGGATCCTTTGCCCCTTATCTCAGTAGCTGGGAAGGCAGGCTCTTAGTTTCAACTAGTTCAGTTTGAGTTTAGGAGTAGTTGCATTGTTAGTGGGTAGAAAATCAGTAATGCTTTAATTTATTTGTTCATTTTCAAACAATCCTTGTTTGTGCTCCTTTATCTTTCTAAACCGTTCTCGCTAGCAAGGAATCTAGCTCAGATCATTATTAAAAAAATAACTTAGTCCACTATTTAATTTGTTATACTCATGACCTAAAACACGATATTAGGATAAATTTATGTTCAGCATCAATAGCTTGAAAGATCCTATACAACTCCATTTCTTTATCATCCATATACCTCCTAAAATCCTAGCGATCAACCCTTCCATCACAATTTGCATCACAAACTTCCAACAACTCTTTGGCATATTTATACCCGGCAGGAATTTGGAGCCCCGACAAGCCGGCTTCAAC